TCGTGTCGGCACCGGCGGCCGGACCGCTGGCAGGCCGAGTCCCAGCCATCCGGCGGTACCAACAAGTTCGGCTCCGGCTGGTCGTGGCTTTGCAGCGCGCCGTCGCGCGAATGGACGTGACGGTGACGGTGGAGCCGGTGTCGAGGCCGGTGGTGCGAATGCCGGTGTTTCTGACGGTGCTCGTGCTGATGCTGGTGCTGATGTTGATGCTGATGCTGATGATGGTGGTGGTGACGCGACTGTCCGAGTTGGTATGACGCGCCGGGCGACTGGTGCGTCCGAATGGACGGTGAGTCCGTCTGGCGAGTCCGCAGGACGGCGTCGAAGCTGCGATGGCACAGGCCCGGCGAGAGACTGGACTGACTGGGCCGGCTGGAGTCGGGCGAGGAAGAGGCGCTGGTGGGACAGCTGGTGGTGACGGCAAGTGCGAGCGTCATAGCGACCGGGTTTTGGGTTCGAGTCCGCGACCGAGTCGGCGCCAGCACGACGTCTGTACGGTTCGCGTCGGCCCGGAATGCGGGCAGACGAGCCGAGGAGACGGGCCGCCGGATGTGGCTGGCGCAGGTGGGCAGACGACTCTCGAGCGCGTCGTCCGGCCCGGCCGAGGAGGTGGAGAGCCCGAGGAGGGCCGACCTGTCGGGACGGCGTTGCGACGGGACTCGGAGTCGAGCAACCGGCTGTACGGCCGACAGAGGGACATCGAGTTGGCCGGACGACCGGTCCTCGCTGAAGCTGGAGGAGCAGTACAGCTTCCGCTTCAAGCCGTGTCGCCGGCTACCGGCAGACCGACGCGAGTCCGGCTCACCGGCCGCGGGAAAGACGAGCTCGGTCGGTACCAATCGAGCGGGGTAGTCGAGGTTGCGAGCGGCCGGTCGACTCGACATGTCGAGCGACCGTGTGACTGGCGCGACTTGGACTGTGGTCTCGGTCGTCGGGTGACCGGCCATCTGGTCGGGGCAGCGAGGCATGTTAAAGGATCTGGAGGCGAGACAGGGTCTGTGGTGGCTGAGCTGAGCCGCCAGGCCGACTGACGAAGGCAGGAATCTGTTGGCTGGAGGCAGAGTTACGAGAGCAATGAGAATGAGAAAAAAAGGGAATTTCTAAGAAATATTTTGTGACTTTTTCGAGGAAGAGTTGGTTGAAAGAGATGCGTGATGTCGTCTCACCGGAAACCGAAGGAGCACAGTCGCGAATATGCGCTACACTCTTGTCTGTACCACCGTGACAGACATCATCACCTCATGAATTAATACTTGACGAAGTGGATAAAAAAATGTACTGAACCAAGAGAAAAGGTGGCCGGCTGCAACGCTAGTCGCTTGTTTATGCAAAAACCGTGTGATCGAAATGATAAACGGAGGAGCCTGTTGGTTGAGAGCATAGTTGCTAGGGAAGTAAGTGTACCAATTGGCCAATCGTGTCGGTCTGGGAG